AGACAGATTAGACATATGAGTAGATTATATCGTTTGTATATCCAATATAAGCATTTACAAATACACAAAACCCTGTATTAGATACTGAATTTTTCGCAAATCTGAGACCTAATTCTGGTTTACAAAGGATTACCGATAAAGTATAATAAAGAAAGTTTCGTGCGACCTAGTAACTGAAATCTGGTATCGTAACGATACATCTTTGCAGTATCATGATCGGGGTCTCGGCGGGTCTAGGTTTCACCTCGCGCCCACTTAGCTCGCCGCGCACGTATTCAGAGTCAACTAACTGAAATGGGTTCTCACTCAACATTCTACAGACTAAGGTTAGCAACCTGTCACCGTGACGACATTAGCCAGAGAGTACCAATACTGAATGTTACACCTCGACACGCGCTATACTTTTTCTTTTTAAATATATTTTACTTTCTCATTTTCAATTTCTGCTCTTTTCAATATAATTTTCCAAATTTTTTATTCAACTTGCTAACGCTATAATTTGATTTTACAAAAAGTGACTTTGCCTAACTAAACCTACGAGTACCCATAAAGGAGCAAACTGGCAAAGAATACAGTCCCTTTGCGAAAGTTGGAGAGAATCTGAACAAACCTTCGACTGCTCACGTCGACGCTTACCTACATCAAACAGACGATATTTCAGTCCAAGTTACTGCCATAAAAAGTGGAAAGTTCCCACCTTTGCATAAATAGAAGGTACCTCCGTAAAGTACCCAGTTGAACACGCCGACCCAATAGTCGGACCCTTATCGATGTTTATCTCTACCCTGGACAGTCTTTCGGGGTCGACGGATCGACTCCGTCCGCCCGAAGGATTTGCCCACTTTTATCCCGAATTTATTGTTTGTCCTCTTTAATGGGATATGCGAGGATACTGACCGCCCTCGGGATTATGTTTGTTAATAGATGCTGGCTTGTTACGCACAGATTTCGGTTCTTGAAATCGCGGATTTATAAATATAAAGGTTGACTAAAACAAGCCAAAGTCAAAGGGGCACCTTGTCATACTAAAAGGACATTTTATGTTTTGTATAATTTTTCACATTTGGCTTCAGAATATATGAACAACTCAGCAACCCTACTCTTGGAATCCGACATGTTATTCCAGCTGTACTGTGACCACGTTTGAATTATACCAGTATTTCTGTGCCTGTAGAAACATGTCTCTATACATTGCGCATTTTTCAAATAAAATTCATTGTATGTTCAAACTAAAAGCGCGTCTATTTTCATTCAAATCAAATACAAAATATGTGTATATGTGAGTCCGTGCATGCAGGCATAGTTACGGCAAAGTGTGTCAATACAAGCTGCGTTCCAACTTTTTGTTTAACTTTGTTGTTGGCTATTCACAATTTTCGTTGAACATGGCCGGATCAGCGACCTAATTGATACGGACGGCGGGAAATCGTTAGCATTAAATTAAACAGCATCCAGATGGAGTCTGGACTCGTCCGAACTTGTTCAATACGTCGCCGAGTCGATTGGAGCCGGCGATGGGGGACAGTTGGGGAAATTTGTTTAAAAGTGCCAAAGTTATTTCCTGATCCACTATTTACGTAATCGAATGCTTTTCGTGATAGAGTTTAATTAAAAGGATAACTGTATGAGCTGTCCCCATATGTATTGTTTTTGTGAGTGAAGTTATTTACAAACGCTAAGTTCTTTGATGTAATTTACTCGGCGAGAGTCATGCGTAGTGACGACAGCTAAGTACGTGCAATAATGCTCCACTGCCGCCGCTCGGCGCCTCTCGGTGCCGCTCGACTTTGATTGTATAGAAAGGAACTCCAACGTGTTTGAGTTGTCGCCGCACAAAGCGAGCACCATTCAGCCAGCCTGTGAATGTTGGTGATGGTTGACCGGCTTGCACCAACATTATTTTCCTTTTCGATTTTATTTTCTGTAAATATAATTCTTTTGCAACGAGCTTATTTGCTCGAAGTGTAAATACTCCTTAGTATGCCTATTACAGTCAATAACAAATCGTTTATCACATCAATAAGCTTGCAAAATAATAGGCAACATTACAAAAAATACAAATAAAGAAACAGCAACGCCAACAATCTGCTAATTGGAAAATGTTTAGAATGTCCATGAACAAATGTTTATTCTACAAAGAATTCATAACCACGAGACTCATAAATAATAAAGCAGAATGTGAAATGGCCGCGTGTATAGCACATATAGCGGCAGACATTATGGCGGGATACATTACTGGGAAGACAACAACACTGTTATGTGATACTCGTCATGTTAAGCACTTCGCTCACGAAACAACACAACACACTCGGCTACGAACACAAAAAGATTCGACGCTTGGCGTTAATGACGGTTACAAAGCTGAATCGATACAAAACTAATAAAGTCAATCGAGAACTAAACGATTGGGAGGCGATACGGCAAATAGGTCGCGGAATAAAGATACGCTACCTACGTGACCGGAGTCGATATACGGACTCAACTCGATACTGACGAACGATCGGGACGATCGATTCCGATTGGCGAAGTTTCGATTTTGAATTTGTAGGTTTACGCCCTAAACGGCACTTGATCGGAATTGCCTGATTGGCTGCACGGCGCGATTTAAAACTGCAACATTAACACGCCACGGAATGTGGCGTGACCTGCGTGACACACGTGGCGAGACTAACGTAATCAGCTGTCACTGGCCACACTGTCCGGCTTGAATTAGTGTTTGATTTATGTGATCTTATTCATAATGGCGAAAGATTCATTTTAAGCCACAGATTATTTTTTTGTTATCTAGTCATTACTCTTGTAATACAATGATAAGCGTACTTTGAAAATAGAACGTACTAGATATTTAAACGGTGTAACTAAGGCCTCTGGACGACCATCGGTCACCGACTCCATAACATACAATAGGTATATTAATGTGTTAGCATGTATATGACGGTTGTAGAAATGTGGCAGCGGTTGAAGTGGTTTCTAAGAATGGTTACCGTTTAGAGCAGCACGCTCAGTCGCTCGCCGAGCGTTATGTAAGACCGTGTCGGTGTCTTACAGCCAGGGCTCAGATACGGGGTTACATGGAAACTTCATTACTGCGCCTAGTGTAGCCTGTAAGCGGCTCAACAAAATAAATAAACACGCCGAACAACGTATCCGCAGCACAGAAAATCCATTTTTATATATAAACTCGCAAATCAGATAATCCAAATTGGTTTTTAGACGTAAACTCAATTTTGACATGTATTTTACTTTATCGCGGAGGCAGATAAATTGAGTGAGATACCGGTGGAAATGTGGCGAAGTGTGAATGCTGTGGAATATGTATATTTAGTGGGACACGGAGTTTGTCCGCCTGTTTATTGATAGTGATACAAGTCAGTAGTGGTCTATCGACGGTGCTGAACCTCAAAACTCGTTTCGAGATCATAGTATATGGACTACGAGATTTATATTATTAAAACACCACTTTAATATTACACATGGACCGTTTTGCAAGGAATACAAAAGAATCTGACTATCTCTTACTACATCTTTAAATATACATAATTGTAACATTAACAACTGTAATAAAATAATATGTAAATAACATTTGGAAACAATTAACCTCAAAATAAACAAACATTTACGCATTAATTATTGAGTAGCGCAGGTGTCTGCGGTCAAAAACCAATATTTGCTTCTACTGTTTAGAACTAATTTATATTTTTTGATTGCAAACATGTTTTTCTAAGGATTCTGTACGATGTCTACACATCAAAAACAATTTAATTTGGACATTATATTTATAATGTGACGTCATTAAGAAAAGGAAAGTAATTAAGAAAAGTAACGAGCTCTGACTCCTGAACTAAGGCGTTTTATGTAAGTGTTATAGTATACGTCAAAATAAAAGAGGCGTGTCTAATTTTATTCATTATTAAATGACGGACTAAATCGGTTTTAATATTAACCTTGTCATCATCCCCTTTGCTGCTAAAGTTGTTGTGCTATTTCAGCTATCTGACTATCCGGACTCAAGCTCTAAAATTACTTGGATATTAACAATTCTAATATAATTTTCAATTAAAAGCACTCTTTTTCGATAACTGTGAAATATGTGGCATAGTTAAATAAATTAAATAAATGGTATTTATTAATTATTTTCCAGTGAGAAAGGTACATCGTTAAGGTTGACACATTATAAGTAGGTAAGTGGCAGACAGAGTAGAAACGTTTAGTCCACATTAATGTATTAACGGTTGTAATGACAATTAAATTGATTGATAGCGTGTCCGACCACGCGTGGACTGTTGTGGGCTATTTTTGTAAGTAATTGTCAATGTATTGGGACTTAGATAGTTTTTGTTGTGAGCAGTTTGTCTCTGTTGTAATCGAATTACGATATTGTTTGGAAGTTGTTTAGTTTTCTGTGCATATTAATGAGAGTTGTCAGTGTAAGTTTTGAAGGGTTGGCAGAGGGATATCCCTCTGGTAAGTATTGTATTTGAGTGGGCGTATCCGCACTGTTATGGTCACCAGCTAATGTCATTGTGCCAATGCCAAAAAGACTACGACTTAGAAGTCGGGCACTGGACAAAATAGCAGTATATTTTTTTCTTGTAGTATAAAGTATCAATAGAAGCAAGCTGTTGCTACATTTCAGTTAAATCCAAGTAAATACGTAAGCATGCCCCGTATATTCCCACGAGTGAGACTCATCTTCCACATTCTTTGGTATTACGTCTCATAAGGGGCAAAGCGGTGGCTCTTTACCACACAATTCTAAAATGTTGTCTCATAATGTCACACAAATAACTTTATAACATTTTCATTTAATATTTTTGTGGTGTATATGACCGAGACAATTGTGTTTAGTTCACTTTCGTCTATCAATCGCCTAGACAGACATATGTAGGTACCTAACAATACCTACCTATGTTACCTCTCCAAAAATCGCCAAGCACCAATCGTGCCGTAATTTACTACACAGAATGTATTGGATCAGACCTTATTTTAATAAATTCTAGTGAAGAGCGCAGAAAAAGTAAAGAATTTGTTCAGAAAACGGCGTCCTTGATAAGTGGGACAAAAGATAGCGAGTGGACAATCTATTCGGAGACGGGTGGAATCGCTCCGATTGCTGTATCTGCAGACCTTGGGCTGTGGTGCATACCATGTGCGCTGGCGATCACACACCTATGCCCACTGGGACCAGGCACCATCGCAAGCTCAGGAATGAAACAGATGTACTTGAATTTATTTGTTGATCAGGTGACTTCACGGTGACCTTCAAAATACATTCGTTTTCTTTCTAAAGCGATAACGATTATCGATATTGAACTTGGTTAGGGAGCTAGGAGACAATATATATTAACATATTTAATATAATTCAGTAGTGGCTAATTGTTATTATATTTTATTTATATACGCGATAGTTAAATTGTGCAGAAATTAATAATTATATCAAAACCACAGTGTTTTTTTTTTAATAAAAGCAATATTTTAATAATACTGTCAATAATCTGAAGTATGTTGTAAGCTTTCGTAATGTTAAACAACTTTCAAATAAGTATCTTACTTACTACAAAATATTATGAATCTAGCTTTATAAAAAAATATACCAAAATTACCAATGGATAAAACACATGAAATCACCACTCTGAGTCGCTTCCGCTGCCTCCTGTGCCATGCACGGAGGATTCGGTTCACCTTTTTATCAGGTCAACGGTTAGGTAGGAGGGTCACGCAACGTGGACCGTCCAGCACGAAGATGTCGTCAATGTATTAAATTATGTCCGGACATCCCTGCGCTCCCCTCCTCACGGAAATTTACCTACACCTCACACATATATTGTTGTCACCAGGAAAACTACATTTTTACCTGCACCTGAATGGAATATATAATTCGAAAGAGCGGACAAGATTGTACCTACGTGTGAAAAATATTGCAATACGTTAGTCCAGAAATGCAAGTCAATATTAATTGCACCTCTGTCGAAGCTTGCAAAGAAAAATAAATTATTATATTTCATTTCATTCCTCGTCCACATTCCTTTAATTAATTTCCAATTTATGTTTTATTATTTTTTACTGTACATTGGAATCATATTTGTACATATATGTAGTTTGTAATTTCAGGAATGAAAACTACTATTAGTTTAGATAATAGCCCATAAACCAAGCCTTGGTACAATATTATTATTTACGGAAAAAGTTCGGAGTCAATTTAAATTACACACGCACCATAAATAATACATTAAAAAATCACATGGGTACAAGCCGAGCATTCGAGCAATCAGTCAAACATTACACGAACGATTGGGCGCAGGTCAATTCATTAGGGAGCCAGCAGCGGGCGCGCGGCCGTCCTTCCGTATGCCGCCGATAAAACAAATCCACGTGCTGTTGACTTTTATTCCAAACCGTTTTATAGTTCATTTCGAATTTAATAAAAAAGCCTTCGCAGACTTTCCATAGCCTATCTTTCTAGCATTTTCCAATTGACAGTTTAAAGTGCTCGACTGTACCTGTAGTTTATTTACAGGAGTTAATTAGGTTAGTTGAGACTACCGAGAGCTAAGTTAACGTACTAATGCCTTTACGAATTAAGTTTTGTTGGGCAAAGTTGAGACTTTAAAGATATTTATAGTCTGTTAATAAAGCAGTCTGCGAAACATTGTGTGCAAGTTCTAGCTAAAGAACTCGGAGGCGAAATAATTAATCTACTGTGATATACGATTAGTGAACACAATAATGAACCTGACGAATGAAATTAAATTATTCAAAACAAGAGACAACGTCACGTGCAAAGCAAATGGCCGTCACCGTGGGTTACATAGAAACGTTCTTCAAATAATAAGTATTATGCATTAAATAAAACGCAACAAAGTTCCTCTTTGTAGCGTCCTGTTTAAGAGAGCACAATATTTTTTCGAAATGGCTGTCATAAGCTCCACTGCGACGTTTAACGCAAAAATTATAGTTGCATTACTTTTATTTATATCGCAGAATATGTCGGTGAGGAGAATTCACATTGTTTGTTCGAATTACTAGTAACAGCAACCTGGAATATTATTATTGTTTAGTATCAGTGTAACAATTAATATTGCTTTAAAGTAATTAGTAGGAGTGAACAGATCTAACCGCACACGTAACGAGCCACACTGGTATAAACTAGCCGCTCTAATATTGTTCACAAATTAAATTATACACCTAAAGCCGGGCTCGCGGATACTGAACCAACGAATAGTGCCATTAATAACCACAACTTTATTCATAAAATGTTTCGAATACTAATGAAACTCAGTTATTACTTATCCACGACTATTAAATCCCGTTCTTGAAACTTTCCCATTCATAACTTGTTTAATTTCAGAGTGAAGATCACGGCCCGCTCGCGTTATATGTTCCAGGTGAATATTTTACCGGCCCCGGGAACTTTTACCCTTTCTTTTTACCACTTGTTCAGGATAAGACGTGACTTTTAATATCGTAGGTCGCTCGCTCGCTGCGCTGTACCTGCGCGCCGCACCGGCTCTGGCTCCGCCTGGCCCTGGCGAGCGCGCCGCTCAGCCACTGCTTTAATTCCGACGACAAATAACGTCACACTCAAAGTTTTGACGTGGACTTACTTGTACTCCAGACTTTTATTCCAAATGCATGCATGTATAACTCACCATACATATTTATTTGATTTGCATTTTATTCGAGTCAAGAAAAAAGGTTGTGCGATTTAAAAAGCGTCTGCTCACCGTAGCTCATCGTGCAGGATCAGACATGCGTAACAATCAAATTTTTTGTAAATAACTTACTAAATAGGTTTGTTTTTCCGAATTTACAGTTGAAATAATATCATCTTCCTCAAGTAAGGTATCTCCAAGAACGCGTCCTTTCATCCCAACATACCCTGTATATTATAAATCGCGACGTATTTCATTTCCAACGTTGTCATTCCTGAGACGCGGATGAAATCTCATAGGCAAGCAAATAGGGAATTATGTCGACCATCGAGAGCCCTGAGGGTTGGTGGGACTGATTCGATTTGCGGGCCTTCAGAGGGTTGTCCACATAAGTGTTTTAGATCCACGTCCTCGACCAAGGGCGTGCTTGAATATGCAATCACAGCTGTCGATACTAATGTATGAACCCCTTAGAGAGACGAGATTTGACGCAAAATTAGCACTTAATGACTTGATAATTGTTTCAATCAAATTCCGTATTCCTTATCTGTTTCAACCCACATCCACAATACTTCCTCTCCGAGCGAGTAGAATGTTGTATCAAATGCAAATATTAACGACTTGCCAATAGAATTTACGGAGGGAGGATGTACAACGGAAATTGAGTCTGCTGGGAACTTTCTGCTTAACATGATGTTATGTTGAGTTACAGGATCTGCCAATCAAAATTTATGTGCACGTGTGTTACAGTTGTTTTATAATATAAGAGTACCTATATGGTGCTACTGTATCTAATTCTGTCACAATATTGAAGTTTCAACTCGGAGCTTATTAAAAGATTAACTTTATGATTTTTAAGACATATCTAAAGAATTTGTTACTTTTAGTATTTAAACAACATTAAAGCCTTCCAGCACTAAGAGTCTACAACTAGTGTCAATGTCAATCTAAGCGAGATTTCTTCCAAAATAGATAGTCTAGACTGAGCAGAAAATCTAGGAGCAGAGATAGCATTGATATAGAGCGAAAGACAAATGGCACCGCATTCCATTGAAACAGAAGTGGGAGGGAGGTTCAGCGGAGGGTTAGTAATTTATCATAGAATAATATTAGATCAAGAGGTCGGGGCTGGGGCGGCGGAGGTGGCGGGGGCGGTCACGTCACGCAGTTTTCTGGTGCACTCGACCACAGCGGCACACGAGGTACAGCCGAGCTTATTCATAAGCAATCGCTAAAATTGTTTATAAATACATATTATTAAAGTATTTTCAATGAGATAATTTAACTTTATTGTATCGTAGCCTAGCAACACGAATATAACAAAGAGGAGCATTCCAAGAAACAGGCAGCGCGGCGTTGACGTAAAATGTTACGCTACATTTTGCATGAAGCCATTGAAACAATATCACAAGGACCGCAACGAACTAAAAGCAACCGCCACCAAAGAGATTGCGACTACCGAACTAAAATTGCCTATTAATATTCAAACTATATTCGCTTTCGCTTTCAACTCACGCCGCCTACAATTTGCTTCACCCAAACTTGAAATAACACGGTATCGATGATCTCCGGAGCCTTTGCGTTGTAATACTGTCTTATATAGAGCACGGCACCACTTACCCACTCGCGCACTGTTACACGGGCTGCTCCCAGAACTCATGTTATTACCAATCCTGATACCCCGGATTAGTTTGGAGTTTGGAGCGTGTTCAGACATGCTCCTCTTATAAGATTAATGTGCTATAATTTCAGTCTTCAGCTGTGGTTACGAGGTGTACTGTTCCATGCAATGTGGTTTACTTGAGGACTGCAGTTAGTTTATAGGATTTACCTGCATAAGTACATAGTAGCTACATACATATGTAAATACGTGGAGTTTACAAGATGTTCATATTACATGATGTGATTTGTATAATAAACATAAACTGAGTTAATTTCTTGGAAGAATATTGTGATTCAACGCGAAACTACTAACGAGGCCGGTATGGAAGTAAAGCTATAAGACACTCACATCCGAATACATAACGTTATGTCTAAGCAAACCCTTTAATAAGGCAGACAAAATACGAACAGGTTTCTGGAAAATTCGGCTTACTTTTTAAACAGACGAAATGTATTATTATTCTAATCACGGAGCCGCTCTTTATTTCGTGTAGTTGGAGGACGGTTTAGAATAATGATAAAAAAGACTGGGGCGTGAGGGCTGCGATCCGACGTCAAATTATGTCTGTTTCAAACTTTCTCACTCCGAAATGATATCTTGGGAAGGTGAATGTAATGTTGAGAACGAAGTGTTACATTTTTGCTGAGACATAATACAATTAAAGGTGACGTTTTTAATGTTTTACCTTGATGTTAAATGTGTGAGGCACATATCGTTATCTACATTACATTAATTTTATTTGGAAAAAGTGTATTCTACTTGAGCAGAGTTAGTTGTAATAATTAGTACTTAACTTATTACGTACTAACGCTATGAGTTTTGTAAGAAACAAATTAAATTATTTTTCGTAAAAAGTATTCTCCGCTAAGAGAAGTTTGATCCCCTAGTTTGAAGAAATTGAAATAATGTTCACCAATTATCACCTGATTTACTAAGTTGTTATAAGATTTACAAATAAAAAATCCCAAACCAATTCAATAAAAATTCCCGGCATTAAGCAACAACACAGTAAACTAAATACAAAAAATAGATCCTTTGAGTAAAAATATTCTACTATTGAGTCCAGGTGAAAGGCAACTATTACCAACATGGCTGCCGGCGCCAAATGAGAAAAACGACTAAAAGAAAAATCCGTCTATAAAATTATTAACGAGAGAAAAAATAAAGTTTTCCTTTTCAACTCGGTGTAATCACTTCGCCATTTTATGTGGCAATTTGAAAATAATTGTTGATATAAATTCAGGCAGTTATGAGGCTCAGTTGTTTATTACAGGATTCGATATTTTAATTATGTGGACAGTTGTGAGTGCGCCGCGCCGAGCTGTATAGCTCCGTACTGCGTTGTACCGCGCGGTACCGAGCGGCCAGTCGGTGCGTACGTGTAACCACACGATATACGCGGAAATACAGGTTTCTGTTTATTTATTAATATTAGCCGTGGAAAACACTAGTACATTTTAATTTAACGATATTTTTGTTAATTATTTTTTGAAAATTACTGTCCAATTACGAGTAATATTAAATTTAGAGTTATATCGTACATAACACCTGGGCGTTGTTATTACTACAGCTGAAGCTGGATTCGATACCCCTTTGGAACAAAATTATACTTAGCAGTTAGAAGAAGAAATCAAAAGAAATATCAAGCCGAGTTCCGATTGTTTCCGATTTAAGGCGCAGAATTATAAACTACTCAAATTGTTTAAGTAGTTACATACAACAGTAAAAGACTGCAGTACCTGTTTATAGAACAGGAATACCTCCGGGGCGAATACGATCACACAGCTCGAACAAGAATACCCTGATCCATCAGCACCCGTGTTGATACTATAACCCCTGTTCATCTCATTGCTTTACTGTCGCCTGGTTTCCACGGCGAAAAGAGCCAGGGTTCAAATCAAAAGCTTACGATGACTTCGTTATATAAGTGATGTGAATATTTTAGGGATATCAACGATTTATCGTATTTAAAGTACAACTAATAATATTTGCCGCGCCGCGTTAGATATAATCTGTTTGTGCAACTTCATTCCTCTGGTTTGAAGTTGGGGTAAGTAAAAATTATGATAATGAAGATATTTTTTGCTATTTCCTTTTTTTAATAGATCGACTAAGAAATCGTATTGATAGTGCAATATTAAAATTTCTATGCAATGGTAAGGACGGTAAGCATCGTTTGTTTTTATTTTGCTAGTATCTTTGAAAATCTTTTTATTTAAACTGTATAATGTTAGAGTAAAGGGTATAAATATTTTTCTACATTAAATTATCTTTCCCCAGATATATCTTACTTAAAAAAATGGCTTGGAAAGCTCCACAAATACGATTTTTAATTTCACAATTTTTGAAGTAAAGGATTGATATATACTTTCATTATTATTGTATTACATACTTGTTTTGTTTTGTTCTTCCGAATAAATGCATTTTTTGGTAATACTCCACCAAACCGTAACGTTTAAAAATCAGTTCAGTAGATCTAGATCCAATCCCTTACATTGTGTTGCATTGATTGTGTGCAGTGCACTATTGATCATGACCCACGCAAACGTATTATAAAATAAGATAAACAATAGTATTTCATAGTAATATTAATTTAAATTAACTAGTAAATAACTGGATGCGCTAGCGGAGGCCGTTTAACCACATTGCTTATACATGCTGACCTATTTAACTATAGTTTACAGTTATAACCGCACAGTTAAACGCTCGATATTTAACACGTATAGCCTGAAATGTGGTTCTAAAAGTTGTTTTGCTGCATAAAGTGAGTTGTTGAAACAACAACAATTACCAAATAACTTAGTTTATTTATTTATGCACATGTTTACGGCACAATCAACATGTTTATGCAAACGACGGCCGACAACTAATGTTACTCCCCTCCACCACCGACAGCGCGAAACAGAATAAATGTATCTTACTATTGACTCACTCAGTAACTCCAGCCCTAACTACTCATCATCTACTCAGCTTATATGCAGATCACGAATACTGGAGCCCATCCAATCGAACCCTATCTAAACAAATGACACCATCAAAATCCACAGAAAAAACTACCGAACGAGAAAAAGTACATTTACCACGACACACACGATTAACCATCCTGTCTCCTTCCAATAAAACATAAGCGCAATGATTTTTTAGCTGTAAAAAACAATACATCTCGGCGCCACTATCTCAGACTCCCTGATTTTTTCACTGAATAAATTTGTTTGGATATTTCGCAAAAAGCGGGATAAGGA